ACACCAGGACGTATTGTTGGAGCAGTCTGGTGGTTCTTCGCAGTGATATTGATATCATCGTACGTATCTAATTTCACTGCGTATTTGATCGTGCAGAAAATGTCAACACCAATCAGCACACCAGAAGATTTAGCTGCACAAACTGAAATTGAATATGGTGTTCTTTCTCATGGGTCTACGTGGGATTTTTTCAAAGTTAGTAGTTTGCTCACACTTTATTTATTGTTTCGAATTTTCCAAACATTTTTACATATAAAAATACCTTATGTATTAAATTATTTACATGGGTAATAATAATTCTTCTATGAATCAATTATTGCTATATTATCACTTTAAACTATAATATTTATTTAATTTTATGATATCGTTAGCGTACGACATTGTGATTGATTTAAGCAAAACATGTGGATGTAAAATAAAATTGTATGTCTTTAATATTATTGCATCATCGTTTCATATAATATATATTTTTGCTCAACATTTCAAACTAATGTAATTGTTTAAGATTTAAAAACAACAATTTTTCATAAAATTTATACTTTCAATTATACTGCTATTATATAAGTAAACAACCAAGGGCCAACCTGTTTAAACGTATTATTTTATCTTTCTGCATAACACACTATAAGAGGCTAGTGACACGGGTTTTATTATTATTTTTCTTATTCTATAAAAATTCAAAAAAAAAAAAATCATTTTTTATTTAAAAACTTTACGTCTGGCAGTGACTTTTTCGTCGCGTCGACGTTTGGAATTATTCTCAATACTTGATTGCCTCTTTAATAAGCTGTTTATCCAACGAGGTCTGCRAACGTCAACACCATTAAATTCAAACCACAAGAACTATGGAGATAAATTATTCTCCGAATTAATTTTGTATTTGCTTTTTTACTGGGTGAAAATTGAACACTTTTCTGAATAACTTCCAATACATTTACTATGGGATATGTGAAAAACGGCAATAGAAATAAAAATAAAATTCATATAGGTAGGTACATTAATAAAAGGTGTTGAACTAATATATAATTTTTTCGTTATGAGTTCAGTTTTTCAGTTCTATCGACTGTAAATCTTGAGTTGGGTTGGCCACTCCTTTTATCGGAGAGTTCTTTTCGTTTCGGGCTATTTGCCACGGTAGTTTGTTATGAATGTTCTTACTTCACATAAAAAACCCGCGGAGAAGGGAAAAATAAAAAATGAAGAGAATAATCGATTATCTAATCAATCGAATAAATCAATTTTCTAAAATGGTTACTTAGTATACTTAAAACTAGTATTAGGTACATTAATTGTTATTAATTGTACATA